GTTCGAGACCCGCCTGGGCAACTTGGCGAGACCTCATCTCCACAATAAATCAAAAAACTAGCCAGGCGTGGTAGTGCACACCTGTAGTTCCAGTTACTTGGAAGGCTGAGGCGGAAGGATCGCCAGAAGCCCAGCAGGTCAAGGTTGAGGTGGCTGGGAGCGGCTACTGCACTCCAGCCTGGGTGACAGAGTGAGACTCCATCTCAAAAAAAAAAGAAAAAGTCCTACAGATGAGGGCAACATGATGTCAGCCAGTGACAACAAATGCCAATTAGCATCCCTTTTGACGACTTTTTTTTTTTTAAAGTGAGAAAGCAGGATTTATTGAGAAGACAGAGAAGCTCCCACAGTGGGAGGGGACCCAAAGGGATTTTGCCCGTTTTCTCCTTTTGATATAAGCCCCACTCCTTTTGGTTCTGACCTACAATATTAACTTTTTACTTACAAATACATTTTTTTTAAAAGAGAACCAAACCAGGCTGGGTGAGAGAGCTCACGCCGCCTATAATCCAGCACTTTGGGAGGCCTAGGTAAGAGGACTGCCTGAGCCCTTGGGTTCGAGACCAATCTAGGCAAGTTGGCAAGACCTCATCTCTACAATAAATCTAAAACTTAGCCAGGCATGGTGGCATGTGCTTGTAGTTCCAGCTACTCGGAAGAGGGAGGCAGAAGGATTGCCTGAGCCCAGCAGGTCGAGGCTGCAGTGGCTGTGAGTGTGCCACTGCACTCCAGCCTGGGCGATAGAGTGAGACTCCAACTCAAAAAAAAAAAACAGAGAACCAAACCAAGCAAATCTTTCTCTAATCCACAATTCTTAACAGATGAACCATGGACCCGTGAAAATCATGTATTCAAATAGTTATACACAAAGCAAGAGAGGAAGCAGGAGAAGGATACAGATTCTATCCTAAAAGAGGGCTACGATGTTTAAAAAAAAAAAAAAAAGGTAAGAAACACTGTTCTAACCATAGTAATTGGTCAAACTATACATGCAAACACTCATGTTTACTTACCAGGATCTGTAGATCCAAACTCTCTCAAAGCTCTCTCATAATATTCTCTTATGTTCGCCATCTTGCAAGATTCCTAACAACAACAACAAAAAAAATCAGACAATCATGCCTCAAAAGCCTAATTTATAAAGTTAAATTAACTACAACCATACTGTTAAGCAGCTATTAGGTATTTGAAAGGGAAGATGGCGCTGGGCGTGGTGGCTCACGCCTATAATCCCAGCACTTTGAGAGGCCGAGGTGAGAGCACTGCTTGAGCCCATGGGTTCGAGACCAGCCTGAGCAACTTGGCGAGACTTCATTCTACAATAAGTCAAAAAATTAGTCAGGCATGGTGGTGCGTGCCTTTAGTTCCAGTTACTTGGAAGGATCACCTGAGCCCAGCAGGTCGAGGCTGCAGTGGTCGTGAGCATGACACTGCATTCCAGCCTGGGCGACAGAGTGAGAGTTCAACTCAAAAAAAAAAATGCTGGGTGCGGTGGTGGCTCAGTCTGTAATCCCAGCACTTTGGGAGACAGAGGCAAGAGGACTGCCTGAGCCGGGGTGTTCGAGACCAACTTGGTGAAACCTCATCTCTACAAAAAAATTTAAAAATAAGCCAGGCATGGTAGCATGTGCCTGTAGTTCCAGCTACTTGGAAGGCTTGAGGCAGAATGATCACCGAAGCCTAGAAGGTGGAGGGTGCAGTGGCCGTGAATGTGCCATTGCACTCCAGCCTGGGCGACAGAGTAAAATTTCAACTAAAAAAAATAAATAAATAAAGGGAAGATGGGTCAGGGTTTAAGATGAACACAGCCTGGTTCTCAACTTAGCCAGAAAAAAAGGTCAAAGGCATTGTCCACCAACGTGATGTAAATGTCAAACAAAAAAGCACTTTGCTCTAGTAGCATGAAAAGTCTAATTACAAAAGAGTAGGAAGCCAGGCTCGGTGGCTCAGCCTGTAATCCCGTGCCTTTGGGAGGCCGAGGTGAATGGATTGCCTGAGCCCACGGGTTCGAGACCCCCTGGACAGCGAGACCTCATCTCTACAATAAATCAAAAAATCAACTGGGCGTGGTAGCGCATACCTGTAATTCTGGCTACTTGGAAGGCTGAGGCGGAAGGATC